TGATGTGTCTCTTTCACGTTGATGTTTCTCTCTCTCTTCCTCTCTCTCCCTCCCACTCTGTCTGAACAAAAAAATGGAAAAATGTCCTCGGGTGAGGATAAAACAAAAACAAAAGAAGAAATGAAGTGAGCCCGGCCAGTGTGGCTCAGTGGTTGAGTGTGGACCCATGCACCAAGAGGTCACCAGTTTGATTCCTGGTTGGGGCACATACCCAGGTTCTGAGCCCTATCCACATTGGGGGCATGCAGGAGGCAGCCAATTGATGTTCTTTCTCATTGATGTTTCTATCTCTCCCTTTCCCTTCCTCTCTCTCTAAAACCAATAAAGAAAAATAAATTTTTTTTATTCTCACCCAAGGAAATTTTTGCATTTTTATTTACAGATAGAGGGGAAGGGAGAGAGGGAGGAAGAGAGAGAGAAACATCAATGTGAGAGAGACACATCGACTGGTTGCCACCCACACAACCCCAACCAGGGCCAGGGACAAGCCTCAACCGAGGTACATGGCCTTAGTAGGAACCAAACCCGGGACTCTCTGGTCCGCGGCCCAGCTCTAACCGCTGAGCAAAACTGTCCAGGGCAAGAAAAAAAATTTTTAATAAATAAATAAAACAAACATTTAAGAAAAAAAAGAAATGAGGTGATAGAATCTGATGAGTGAGGAGCTCCATGTGGCTGCAGTGTGGAGTATAGAATAGAGGACAGCAACAGCCTTCTAGTTTGCAAGTTCCTGCAGTTTTTTAGGAGAGATAGTGGTATCTTGGTTTAGAGATCTGAGGCCGGGGATGCAAGAGACAATTAGAGAATAAAAGCAGTGTGCCTTGGTGACAGGGCAGTAAGCTAAAGGAAGGTGTCCATCATGGTTCCTCGCTTTCTGGGTTACACAACTGATAGGACAGCAGTGCTGAATCAGGAAACTTAGACTAGATACCTTAATAATAAGAATAGCAAATGCTGATGTACAGTCATTAACGACAGGGATACATTTGAGAAATGCATCATTAGGTGATTTTGGCATTGTGCAAACATCATAGAGTGCACTTACACAAGTCTAGATGGTCTAGCCTACTACTATAATTGTCTGTGCTATACTTTTAGGCAATTGGCAGTGCAGTAGGTTTGTATACAGCAGCATCACCACAAACACGTGAGTGCTATGATGTTATAATGGCTACGATGTCACTAGGTGAAAGGAATTTTCAGCTCCATTATAATCTTATCATATATGTGGTCTGTCATTGACCAAAACATCATTATGCTGAGCATGACTGTAATACCAACTCCTTTTATTCTCATAGCAACCCTAAGAGATAGGTACTCTTATTACCCCATTTCGCACATTCTAAAGAACAAGGGGTCCCAAAATTCTAGCACATAATGATAATACATGGCCTTAACTATTCACTCAGTTGCTTCAATGTGAAACATGAAATTAATACAGTACCTTAGAGAGACTCCCAGTTCTATTTTCCTTCTTTTAAAGCCTTAACCTAGAAGATTAAGGGCATTGGACTGAGAAATAAGTAGAGCTTGGGGGTGCCAGTTATCTTTGCTAAGGACATAGGTCTCATACTTACAGATTGTGACTATGCCAAGGATTGGTGTCATTGAAAGAAGTTCCTAGGCTGATATATTGGAAGAGAGAGATATAATGATTGCTGATATTTATTGAGACCTTTATGGACACAGCACAGATTTTAGGTCTTTATATGCATATTATCTCCTTTAATCTTCAGGTCTATAAATTGGAACCCTTGCCCTGGCTGGTTTTCTCGGTGACTAGAGTGTCGGCCCATGTACCAAAGGGTCAAAGGTTTGATTCCCGGTCAAAGGCACATAACTGGGTTGCAGGTTCGATCCCCAACGCTGGTCGGGGCGTGTGTAGGAGGCAACAATTGATGTGTCTTTCTCACATCAGTTCTCTCTCTCTCTCTCTCTCCTTCCTCCCTCCCTTCCACTCTCTCTAAAAATCAATGGAAAAAATATCCTCGGTGAGGATTAACAGCAACAAAAAATTACATGACCCTTTAACAGATGAGAAAAATTGAGTTTAATGAGATTTTTAAAAACTTGCCCAGCCAGTGTGGCTCAGTGGTTGAGCAACAACCCATGCACTAAGAGGTGGCCGGTTCGATTCCTGGTCAGGGAGCATGCACAGGTTGTGAGCCCCATCCCCATTGCGGGGCATACAGGAGGTGGGCAATCGATGTTCTCTCTCTCTCCCTTCCTCTTTCTAAAATCAATAAAGAAAAAAAATTTTTTAAAATAAACTTGCTCAAGGTCACATAGCTAATAAGTGCAGAGCAGATCATTGACAGTGCTGAGATATTTACCCATTTTACTACTCTTTAGGGAAATAAACTATACAGGAAGTCCTCACTTTACACAGTAGTGCAGGGCCATAAAAAGGACAATGCAAGCTGAAACAATGCAAAGCAAACTTTATAATCAATGGGGGAAACTGTGATTGTCCCATGCCTTTAAAAAAATCTCATCAAAACATTAGAAACTCTCCTACTGTCTGTTATACATATATAGGAAAATGAAAAAAAAAAAAGATTTATTTAGTACACTATAAAACATTGAGAAGGGTTTTATTTCTTTGTGGAAAAACTTAAACTTATCAACTATAAATATACTAAAAGCCATTGAATTATACACTCTAAATGGGTGAATTGAGATATGTGAATTTTTTTTTTCCTTTATTGGTTTATAGTGAGAGAGGAAGGAAGAAGGAGAGAGAGATAGAAACATCGATGAGAGAGAACATCGGTTGGCCACCTCATGCATGCCCCCCACTGGGGATCTGGCCCACAACCCAGGCATGTGCCCTGAGTGGAAATCGAACTGGTGACCTCTTGGTGCATGGGTCGACACTCAACCCCTGAGCCACACCGGCCAGACAAGATATGTGAATCTTAATAGAGCTTTTAAAAAACAGTTTACATAGAGTTGTTGAAAGTGCTTGCCTCCGTGTTCTTATACAACTTACAATACAGAGTGAGCATCTTCTCTGTGCCTTGGCAAATTGTCATACTTCTTTTTAAGTTTGGATCACCCACCAACATTTTATCCTTTGGACTTTACATTTTTTTAATTGACTTTAGAGAGAGGGGGGAAGGGAGAGAGAAAGAGAGAGAAACATTGATTTGTCCTTCAACTTATTTATGCATTATTGGTTGCTTCCTGTATGTGCCCTAACCTGGGATTAAACCCACAACCTTGGTGTATCGGGACATCGCTCTAACCAACTAAGCTACCCGGCCAGGGCTTATCCTTTGGACTTTAAATGTTGTGATATATCTCAGAGTTCCTTTACTGTGAAGCGTCTTTTTTGCCAGCATCACTTCCTCTGGGACAGCTTCATCCTTTTTGTTACAGCCGTTTTCCTCATTTATGTTGATAAGTTCACCTTTACCAAGTTCCTCTAGCTGCCTATGTGTGGTCTCTTGAATGATGGCAGCAGCAGCATCCCCACGGTCACCTATTTCTTCTAAAACTCCGTTTACATTCTATTTGAATTTCACTTCCAGCATTGCCACTTTTTGTTTCTTTTCTGGCCTGTTCCCTCATTTGATTAGTATTGTTTCATTGTCACTGGGAGACAAAGAAGCAGCACAACCACATACTTCGCTGTCTATGTGTGAACTAAATAACGGATTGGCAGTGACCAATTATTGACACACTTTAAAAGAAGTGACATGATTAGTCACTAATCACCATACACATCTGTTATTTATGTAGTGATCTATGGACTGAAGAGCTAGCAACAGAGTTTATACTTTATGCAATTAGTCAATTATACTGTAGTAACTGAAATTTGAACCATGTTGTTGGAGGACTGGGCTTATTTGACTAAATAGTGGTAATTAAAATTCATGCATGCCTAAATAATACAAAGGGAGAACTGCCTGTATATGTGTGAGAGTGTGTGCTTGTGTACTTGTGTGTGTGTGTGTCTACCCCGCCTAGCTGTATTCCATTCCCTAGCTTCATAGATCCTCCTTCCCTAGTCCTGTCTCTTAAATGAACATTTATAAGGTTGAATTGATTGTATAATTGCAGTTTTAAAATTCCTAATTTTATGTTTTAAATATTTTAAAAAGAAAAGTGGGATTTCTGTAATTATTTCAATGGCAATAGTGAAATTTGCCACTTAGCACCAGAGACGAACTCATTATTTCTAAAAAGGTTTATGCAAATGTCATCTCAACCCAAGCATGTCATGAAGGAATACTACCAAGTATGCAGGTCACATAGCTATGACCAGTTTTTAGGCTCATCCTGAGTTTAATTTATCTGAGTTATATGTGCCATTAAAATGTTTATGCATTAAAGAAACATTTAGTGAGTGAGGTGCTATGTGCACGATACTGTGTGACAGGGATTCTGCCTTGCAGTAGGGGAGCTAAGATGTACACAGATAGCTAAAACATCAAGTAGTCAGTAATAAGAGTCATAGAAGAGAGGTGCCAATAAAATTCAGAGATGTGATCAAGGAATGCTTTTTGAATGAAGTGACATTTGAGTGGAACCTTGGGAAATGTGTCTAAAAAAATTCTAGAGCACTGCCCTGGCCGGTTTGGCTCAGCGATTAGAGCGTCAGCCCGCAGACCAGAGTCCCGGGTTCGGTTCCCGCTAAGGGCACGTACCTAGGTTACAGTTTGTCCCCGGCCCCAGTTGGGGTCATGTGAGTAACAACCAGTTGATGTGTCTCTCTCACATCGATGTTTCTCTCTTTCTTCCCCCTTCTCTCCCTCCCGCTCTATCTGAAGATTAACGCAAAAATGTCCTCGGGTGGGGATAAAAAAACAACAAAATTCTAGAGCACCCACAACCAATCATTCTTAATTGTTTTTTCCATATACAGGGTGGGGTAAAAGTAAGTTTACAGTTTTTTGTATGGAAAATAATACAGTAATTAAGAAATAATAATACAAGAAGATACTCTGTGTTTCATGTACTCACAACTGTAAACCTACTTTTGTCCCACCCTGCAGTATTCCAGTCTTCTGGATAAGTCCCCTGCATCTTCTGGTGGAAGAAATAACTGTTGGAGAAGATTAAGCCTCAAAAACATCCCCAGGACAATGATAATGTATGACATATTGGATTATGCACAGTCTGGAGTAATCTCAAACCGTCTACAAAAAGAAATGAAGTATCTATTACAGAGACCACGGTCAGAACAGATGCGTCAGAACCAGCTGCGGATCGTTTCTGAAGTTAGGTAAAAGTGATCCCTCACTGGGGTTACGATACGAGGGACATTTCTGAAAGTGTTCACATTCTGCCTAATAGCTCACAGAAGATAATAACAGGGCATATGGGGAAAACGGGTGAGGCAGATTGTTTAAAATTTATGTAACTTTGTAAACAGTACCCACAAAAAGGACAGTTGCTACCTGGGGAGATAACTTGAACCACCAAAAAGGCAGTTCAGGATGGCGGGAGGCCACCACAGCAAATATTTAAAAATGTACACTTAGGGTCCTAGCCAGTTTAGCTCAGCAGAGCACCTGCCTGCGAACCAAAGGGTCTTGGGTTCGATTCCTGGTCAAGGGCACGTACCTGGGTTGCAGGTTCAATCCCTGACCCCGGTTGGAAAAATATCCTGGGGTGAGGATCAACAACAACAAAATGTACACTGGGGTAGGAATGTTGGCAACTCTAATTAGAACAAGTAGTGGGCACCAAGATAGTGCAGATGGAAGTGGAGCCTTGGGCCAGTGTGGTTGCCTTTTAAGTGGACATGGAGGCAGTGCAACTTGCTAAGAACCAAGAGCCACCCAAGGTGGGGAGTGGGGTGAAGAACAGTAAAGGTGGATTGTGGGGGGGGGTGCCTCTCTGGGGAGAGAGCCCTAAGTGCAGGTGTTGCTGTTTTTCTAAATACAGCCAGAAGGGCTCCCATTGCCCATGCTGCACAGAGCTAAGGACTTTTTCCTTTCTACTGAAGGTTATAATTCTGCTCTTGCTATTCTGGCTCCCTTTGCTAAGGATAAATTGCATATAAATTGCAGTGACATTATTTTCTTCTTTACCAATAGCATGTAAGTCAATTGACATTATAGAAACGCATGTTGTAGCAAAATAGACTGTATTGTGCTCTGAAACAACATGAACAGAATATGCCTGCTCCAATTATATATCTTTCTTCTTTCCATTACCAAGTCCCATCTAGCCCATCTCATTTACAAATTAAGCCTTCTTTCTTAAGAAAAAGATAATAAGATTGAAGAGGACCTATTGGTAGTCCATCTTCACACAATCATATTTGAAATGAAAAATACTCCTTTAGTATCTGAAGAAGATATTAGTGACCCATTGTCACACAAACATGCTAGGTTGGTTTTTTTTTTCCTTTGTTCAGGAGTAGAGATGAGTGGCATTGACCCAATTTAGCCCATTTTTTTGTTTTGTTTATTTTTTGTTAATCCTCACCTGAGAATATTTTGTCATTGATTTTTAGATAGAGTAGAAGGGAGAGGGGGAGAGAGAGAGAGAGAGAAACATTGATGTGAGAGAGACACATTGATTGGTTACCTGCCACCCAGGTACATGCCCTTGACTGGGAATTGAACCCACAACCCTTCAGTCCATGGGCCAACGCTCTAACCACTGAGCAAAACCAACCAGGTAGCCCATTTATTTTTATGATCAAGGCTATACATTCTCCAGACAGATGGCCTGGTGTAGGGTGCAGTCTGTCATCATGAAATAGATTTTTCTCTCACTCATCCATATAAACACTGAATATAAAACTTAACCCTATTACCACCAAGGTCAAATAAATGATGTAATTTTCTCTGCCAGCATATATAACCCTAGACTCATTGCTGTTTGGACTCATGCTACTGATTATCCAAGAATGAGTGCTTTAAAGAGCCAAACAAGTAGCCAAATTCTAAATCAATTGAAGAGGGGAAAGGGCTTTACTTCTTTTTTTTAAATCCTCACCTGAGGCTGTTTTCTTCCATTGATTTTTTTAGAGTAGAAGGGAGGGAGGGAAGGAAATATTGAAACATAGATGTGATAGAGGCATTGATTGGTTGCCTCCTGCACACACTGAATGGAGCCAGGGATCAAACTTGTGACCCAGGTACGTGCCCTTGACCGGGGATCAAACCCAAGACCCTTCGGTGTGTGGGCCAACACTCTAACCACTGAGCAACATTTGTCAGGGCAGAAAGGACTTTCTTAAAGCCCTCTTTGAATGTATTCTTAGTTTGGGCTCTCCCAGAAGCAAACCATGAGACAAGGATTTGAGTATGAGTAGTTTATTTGGGAGGTAATCCCAGGAACCACTGATAAGAAGGGGTAGAAAAGCGAAACAGGGAAGGGCAAGCAGCTAAAACCATGTGTGTTAGTAAGCAAGTTACCACTGTGGGTAACTGGAGCTTAATCTCTCCTGGGAATGTCTGAGTCCATACAGAACATGCAACTTGCCTGGTAATTGTGACTCAGTGGTTGAGCGTCGGCCCATGCACCAAGAGGTCACCAGTTCGATTCCCAGTCAGGGCACATGCCCAGGTTGTGGGCCTGATCCCCAGTTAGGGGTATGGAGGAGGCAGCCAATCGATGTTTTCTCTCATCATTGTTTTTATTTCTCTCTCCCTCTACCTTTCTCTCTCTCTAAAAATTAATAAAGAAAAACAAACAAACAAACAAAAGAACGTGCAACTCAAGTTATCCCACAAGAGGCAAAGGAGTTGGGATATTTGTAAGCCAATGCCCATTAGTCATTGGTTAAGGGTTTTTTAGGAAAAGGGTATTAATTCTCAGGCTGTTTTCCTGCACATGGGTTCTTGTTTTCACAAGAAAGCTCTCAGACTGAGTGAGATCAATGCTAGCAGTTGGAACTTGGGCCTATGTGCCCTGCAGTGGTAAGGCCAAGGGGACTATGGGCATGGTACCGACTATGTCTGAGCCCAACACTGATTTAAAAAATTTGGCCCGGCCAGTGTGACTCAGTGGTTGAGCGTCGACCCATGCACCAAGAGGTCGCTGGTTCAATTCCTGGTCAAGGCACATGCCCAGGTAGTGGGCCTGATCCCCAGTGGAGGGCATGCAGGGGGGTGGCCAGTCGATGTTCTCTCTCATCAATGTTTCTATCTCTCTCCTTTCCTCTATAAAAATCAATAAAGAAAAAAAGATGAAAATAAATAAATAAATAAATAAATAAAAGTTTGTTTTTTTCAGCTGTAATGAAATGTAATACCTTCTGTGTTAGTATATGGTTAAAAATAAGATTGAAATGGCTACTACGTGGTATTTTCCAGGAAAACTGATTTTAAAGTAATACCACGTTTTATATTTTTACCATTATCATCATCAATGTCATCATGGCAGATAAAGAAATGTGCTATGCCCTGGCCGGTTTGGCTCAGCGGTTAGTGTGTCGACCTGTGGTCCAGAGAGACCCGGGTTCGGTTCCCGCTAAGGGCACGTACCTCGGTTGCAGTTTGTCCCCGGCCCTGGTTGGGTTGTGAGGGTGGCAACCACTCCATGTGTCCCTTTCACGTCAATGTTTCTCTCTCTCTCTCTCTCTCTCCCACTCTATCTGAACAAAATATAAACAAAAACAAAAACAGATGTGCCCTGGCCAGTTTGGCTCAGCGGTTAGAGCGTCGGCCTGCGGTCCGGAGAGACCCGGGTTCGGTTTCCGCTAAGGGCACGTACTTCGGTTGCAGTTTGTCCCCGGCCCTGGTTGGTCGTGCGGGTGGCAGCCACTCGATGTGTCCCTTTCACGTCGATGTTTCTCTCTCTCTCTCTTCCTCTCTCTCCCTCCCACTCTATCTGTACAAAAGATGGAAAAATATCCTCGGGTGAGGATTAAAAAAAAAAAAAAAGAAAGAAATGTGCTATGTAATTCAAGCAGAAATTATAACTTTGGCCTAAAAAATATATATGCAGTATTGCTGCAAGTACTGAGATCTATGATATATTTGCTAGAGGATGCTTTAATAAAATTTGGAACTTGCTGCATATTTAACTTTTATTTTGCGCATTTTTTCTCTCTGTAATACAAATATTTCATAGGCACTCTTCATCTCTATCAAGTAGCCATCGTTTACATCGGCCCTCCCAACAGCAAAGTCAAATTAAACATCTGGGTCATCGATTAAAGCAAGTGCAAGGGAAAATGAAAAAAACTCATGAGATGGGGAAAGAAGTAAAGACTTCTGTGGATACTGTAAGTTTAACTTGCACTGAATTCATTGTTTTAGACAATATGCAAACCACAAGTAATGCCACTTCTATAAGTACAATGTTCCTAATCTACAAGTTCAAGGCTGAAAAACCTTTGTTATATACCTTGGATAGTATAAAGCTACATTTCTCTTGGTAACACATATTTTTGAAATTCTTAAACCTGATTAATACCAGCTGTTTTGGCTTCACATCAGCATGAGCTGGCAAAAAAAAAAAACAAAACACCTTTGTATACTGACACTGATGAGTCAGCATATCACTAATGGTGATTTTCTCAGAGTGAAAGTCATTTCTATCTGATCTTCTTAAAAGCTATACTGTGAATCTAATAAACAAAATAAACTGATGAACAAAATAGAAACAGAAGCATGCATACATGGAACAGACTGACAGCTGTCAGGGGGGAGGGAAGTAAGGGGACTAGATGAAAGAAGGTGAAGGGATTAGCCAAAGAACATATATGCATAACCCATAGACACAGATAACAGTGTGGTGATGGCCACAGGGAAGGGGGGGGACAGGGGTTGGGTGGAGGGATGGGACATCTGTAACAGTATCAACAATAAAAATAAAGTTGAAAAAAGCTATACTGTGTAAATTCTGCCTCAGTATACTCCTACATCGTGGGCATATTTATAATGAACATGTGTTCATATATTGCTTTGTAACTTTTTAAAAATATGCTATAAATTTTTTGAGTTGAGGCTAAGTGTAAAAAGTCAAATATGAAAACAAAGTAGTAAAAACCAAATATAAAACACTTTCTGCTCTCATTTATAATTCTACCTAGGAACCTCAGACAGACAGACCAGATACAAGGCAACAAAAAACGGTTGTCTTCTCCTCCTCATCTTTTGAAATTGTGAAATATAAAGAACTCAAGCCAGATGACAAATTGGAAAAATACAAAAATGGACCATTTTCCTGGTGTCAAGAATTGTATATTCATCGTTTTCCACCATTTTAATACACAGCTAATTGAAAGAAAACCAAGTGATTTAATAATTTGCTTGTCTGTTTACAAATGATGAATATGAGTACTAAAGAAAAACAAAATATAAGCAAGGCCTCAGTATACTCTTTTAGCCAAATGTGCGACCGATTTTTAAGCCCTTTTTGTATTGCCATGGGTACAAATATTTTTTACGGATAGGATTTTCATCTGAATCTGAATAAATTATTCCAATTAGACGCCCTCAAACTAGCCATATACAGTTTTGTTTGAGACATAATGAGTATATTATTAATCCCTAGAACTTTTATTCAATTTTGATTTTCCTTCATTTTTGAAAATATTGAGCAAGCCATGCTTAGCATAAATATTAGACTTCACTGAGTAAAAGGCTGCTGTGGAGTCAGCCTCCAGTGTCCTTTTTTTGGTAGCATGTGGTTTTTATAGAACAGCTTGTGATTGATTTATTCTCAATTATAATAAAATTAATAATGAATTTGTTTCTACAGTCGGCGTGACATAGCATACCTAATCATTATTGAGCACTGTAAGCCATTGGGACAGAATGATGCATCTGCTTCAGTATTGTACTTTGGATATGTTTCAAGTATGATGACTGTTTTGAGTAGTATTTATCAGTTTTCTTTTGAATGGATAAATTCTTATTCCTGATACAGTACAAAGTATTGATATTTTTGTGATCCAGGCTATTGGATTATATCAAACCTTACAGGAGGTTGTGATAGTTAAACAAAGTGCATTATTTATTTACCTTTAAAAATACTATTTTCAGCCCTGGCCGGTTTGGCTCAGCGGTTGGAGCGTCGGCCTGCGGTCCAGAGAGACCCGGGTTTGGTTCCCGCTAAGGGCACGTACCTCGGTTGCAGTTTGTCCCCGGCCCTGGTTGGTCGTGCGGGTGGCAGCCACTCGATGTGTCCCTTCACGTCGATGTTTCTCTCTCTCTGTTTCTCTCTCTCCCTCCCGCTCTATCTGAACAAAAAATGGAAAAATGTCCTCGGGTGAGGATAAAAAAAATAAATTAAAAAAATATATACTATTTTCATTTTGTTTAACATTTAAAATGTGGAGGTTGATTGCTGCTTTAACCCAGGCAAAGCAGACTATAAATGGATCTCATTCTCTGCTAAAACATTCCCTTAAATGATAAAGAATATTAGAGTAAATGTGTATGATTCCCACTAGAATATACTTAACATAAACATGTACTCTTTTTAGGGGGGAGTATATTTATTAAAGTTGAGGACAGTGAAACAAGGAAGGGCTTAGGATAGAAGAAGCAACGAAGGGGACCTTGGAGACAGGTTCAGGGTTTAGCCTGGGAGGAGCTGCCGCTGCCCATTGCTCCCCTGGTTGCAAGTCTCCTGGGGCCCCTTAGAGTTTAGGAGATGCACGCCGTGGTGGCAGAAGAGGGGGAAGGGAAAGTACAGCGTGTTCCCAGGAGGGAGAGCACTGAATGTGTACTCTTCAATATTAATATATCCTCATTTGATCTAAAATGGGATTGATAATCCCCTTGTTTTCAGAGCTTGTACTGGACACTGGTTGAATAGAAAACATGTACTTACCATATGAGTCATGCACAGTCTCATTTGCTAAATTATGAAGCAGTTCCTATTTCAATAAAATGCATATCAGATTCAGTCCACCCATAGTATGTGCAATAACAAAGTTAAGGGAGATTTAAGGTAACTAGATGAAGGAAAAGGACAAAGGACAGACTCGACGTTTAAGGGCAGCTACGTCTCTTATTAGTTATCACTTTGTCCCATCGTAATGCCTAGCTACAAGGGAGGCTGGGAAATGCGCTCTTGTTTTGGGCAGTTATGTACCATACTAAAATTCTATTGTTATAAAAGAGATACTCCATATTAAGGTATAACTGGCATAAAAAAAAAAAAGACATAACTAGCATCAGTTGCCAGAGAACATGTCTTCTATTGATTTTTAACTCACATTAAACAATGTAAGCACATCACAGAAAATCCTTTTAAAAGTAGAATTACACATCTCATCGCTATAATATAACAATTTTTTACTTTGCTTATATCTTTCTAATCTGTCTAAATGCACACATTTTCACATGGTTGTAATCATAAGTAACATACAGAGGTGGGCAAAAGTAGATTTACAGTTGTGAGTACATGAAAGTTTATTCTTGTATCGTTTATTATTGTATTATACAATATTTGTGTTACAACTTAAACCTACTTTTGCCCACCCCTGTAGATTTAAATTTTTCACTTAATATTGTATCTTAAATATAGTCCATTTAAAAACTAATTTTAGCCCAGCCGGTTTGGCTCACTGGTTGAGCGTCAACCCATGCACCAAGAGGTCGCCAGTTCGATTCCCGCTCAGAGCACCTTCCCAGGTTGTGGGCTTGATCCCCAGTGGTGGGCATGCAGGAGGCAGCCAATCAATGTTCTCTCTCATTGATGTTTCTATCTCTTTCTCCTTTTCCCTTCCTCTCTCTCTAAAATCAATTAAAAAATAATAATAATTTTAATGGCCACATGATAGTCTATTGGGTTGATGAGGCATAATTTACTTATGCATACCCATATCACTGAATATTTTAGTGATTCTAATTTTTCACTATTAGAGATAATTAACAATAGAGTAAACATCTTCATACATAGTTTTCTTTCTTTTGGTTATCTTTCTGTTATTTATTTTTAACTTAATTGCACTGTAATCAGAAAACATGATTTGTATGATACTGATTCCGGGAAATTTGTTGATACTGGCTTTCTAGCCAAGTATATGTTCAGTTTGGATAAATGTTTTTTGTACTCTTAAGAAAGAAAAGAAAGAAAGCATCCAGTATAGAGAAAGAAAAATGTGCATTCTCTGGCATTGGATACAAGATTCTATACTTATTCTTTTTTCAGCATTGCACAGTGGCATTACCACAGCCAATGGGGTTTATCCAAGGTGCAATTATTACTAATTGAAAACTTTTCCCTCTACATGTCCTTTTTTGATCAAGCTTGTTAACTGTATTATTTATATTTTCTATGTACTAATAATTTTTGGTCTGTGTGCCATCAATTAGTTGGTAGGGTATGTGTTAAGTTCTACTACGGTGGCGGACTTGTCAGTTTCTCCTCCTAATTCAGTCAATTTTTGCTGTTTGTTATTTGAAGATATTGTTAGGTACATATATAATTTCAGAGTTAGCATCCCTTCCTGGTGAATTGAGTCTGTTATTTTTATGTAGTTACTATCCTTATTCCTAATAATGAATTTTGCCTTGAAGACTATTTTGTCCAATATGAGCAACGCTACTCTAGCTTTCTTCTTGTTAGCATCTGCCTGCCATATCCTTTTGCATCTTTTCTTATTTTCAACCTTTTTATGTGTCAGAGACTGGCTAGGTGCTCACTAATTTCATTTCCTCTTCCTGGGAACACAGGACTACATTTCCCAGCGCCTTTTACAATTAAGTTGGCACCACCAGAGGAATTGGACAGAAATGATGTATGCCACTTCTAGGCTTGGCAGACATGTAATTCATTATGTTCTATGTGCTCTCTCCCCTGTTTACATGTCTAGAGGCAGAGACCTCCAACATGGTAGAACTAGGATTGAAGGATCCCAGATTCCTATGTCACTGATTGAAAGAGTGAGAGCCAGAGCAGCAAACTGACCTGATGGACTGTTATGTGAGCAAGAAATAAACTTTGTTGTGTTAAGCTCCAGCGATTTTAGAGATTGTTTGTTACAGTAGCCATCATTAATTATTCTGATATACCGTGTCTTTGTGTTTTAGGTTTTCTGTAGGATACAGCAAATATCTGGGTTATTTTGTTATGTTTTGATCCAGTTTGAGGACATCTTTGTTTTAACTGGTGAGTTTAGATCATTTACACTTTATTATGATTTTCTTTGTTGATATATGGAATTTTCTTTACCATTTTATTTTGTGCTGTCTCTCCTGCTTTGTCTGTGTCTTTTCTTCTTTTCCTGTTTTCTTTTAGATTGTTCTTTTGATTCCACATTTTCCCCTCTATTGTTTTGGAAGTTATACACTCTCTTTCTATTCTTAGTGGTTACTCTTCAATTTTAGCATGTGTACTTAAAATCTAAATCAAAATAGCCCCACCACCACCCCCAAACTATCCAAGGGATTTAGAATGCTAATCACCATCATCCTCTTTTCTTAAAAGTTATTGTTATCCATTATTTTAGCACCATCTTGTTTGAATCTCCAAATTAGACATTATTATTGTTTTATAAATTTCAAGCTTCCTTCTGGGATTTTTTTTTTTTTTTTTTTTTTGCTAAGTGCCGTTAGCGGGAACCAAACCCGGGACTCTCTGGTCTGCGGGCCAACACTCCAACCGCTGAGCCAAACCAGCCAGGGCAAGGGATCATTTTTTCTTTTTTTCTAAATTAATTTATTTGTCTTTGTTACAGATGTTTCTCCTTTTCCCTCATTTTTTCTTTATCCTAATGTATACTCTTAGAAGCTCCTTATTGAGCATCTTTTGGTAATAACTCTTTCAATTTGGAGTTTTTTAAAAATATCTTCATTTCACCCTTATTTATGTGTTTGTTTGTTTTTTGGTTAATCCTAACCCGAGGATATTTTTCCATTGATTTTTAGAGTGGAAGGGAGGGAGGGAGGGAGAGAGAGAGAGAGGGAAACATTGATTGGTTGCCTCCTGCACGACCACAACTGGGACCGGGGATCAAACCTGCAACCCAGGTATGTGCCCTTAACTGGGAATCGAACCCACAACCCTTCAGTCCTCAGGCTAGTGCTCTAACTGCTGGGCTAAACTGTCCAGGGCCCACCCTTATTTTTAAGTACATAATTTAAGTAGATATCAAATTCTATGTCGACAGTGGTTTTCTCTCAGCAATCTGAAGTTATTTTTCCACTATGGTTGCCAGTCTGGTTGATCTTTTTATGATCTCTCTTTTCTCTCTGTCAACTTTTAAGATTTTCTCTTTATATTTTGTGCTCTTTGGTTATACTGAAGAAGATT